AGTATATTTGTGCTATACTTAGCATTGCTGAATACCGACATTTTTCATGTAAAATTCATTTATAATGTATCTATGGTTACCACCTATTTACATAAATATTCTATATAATTTCTTTGATGCATTTATGGCAAAAGAATGCATTTTGAATATGCGTGTAAACTAATAGTACTGTATTCGTGTTTGTAAAGGTTCATTGTTCAAAAGTAGGTGATATTCTCAATTTATACTGTTTCTATGGCAACCAACACATATAGTGACCAATATTTAATATTTTACCAATTCAGTTTATTCAGTTAAGTTTATTTCCCTACTAACATGTTTTTTTTAACCAGTATAGAAGTCTCTACTTTACATTTTCGTTTAACACTTAATCAGAGTGAACACAATATGTCCCAATAATGAAATTTTTCAATTTTCCCATGTATAAATATTTCTAAACTTTTCGTTATATATTAAGACCATATCATAGATTGATTAAAACTAAGTTTTGATACTGTTGCAATTAGTTCAATTTTGATGGAAAATTTGATAATTTGACTAGACTATATACCGGGGTTATTGCATAATATGCAGTCGAAAGCAGGTCAGGTAAACATGTAGCGTTTTCATTCGGCAAGTAAATCTGACCTCATCATGTGTACAACTTGCTGTAAATAATATACCCTACGGTATTTTATGTTGATTTTATTCAAAATAAGGTTTTAAACGTGTTTTATGATTAACTATTAAATCATGTATTACAACTACTTTTTCTATTTTTCTTTATAAAATTTAATTAGTTTTATTGTGAACCCGTCTTTAAAAGCGGAAGATATTATAGTGAACAAGCATTTTAAGATACTGATGTAAACAGAGTATTTTTTTTTTTATTTCTGAACATTTTATACAAGTTACATTTCATGTTGCAGGGACTCAAAACTGGTGTCACGTGTTGAAATAAAATTTTCTGAAGGGTGGACAACACAACTACAATGTATTCTATGGGGAACAGCTTTGCTGTGCGTAAATTTTTTTTTTCAGATTTCAGAATATTGTTTGACACAAAAAAATTAACAACCTACCTTCCAGAATAAAAACATATAAATCTATTTCGGGGAGGAATGGGGTTCTATGAGATCTTCTCACAATTTTCTACATACATGTATACGGGGAAAACCTTCCAGTTACAGGAGGGATTCAGTTTTTTTTTTCTTTTTTTTTGGGGGGGGGGGGCATTAGCTGCTACTTTTTCATCAAAAAAAATTCTTATTGGGGGTTGTCCCCTGACCCCTCTAAATCTGCTCCTAATTATTTTCGGATATTACCTTTCATAAGAATTAAAACATTTTTATTGTTTCTTAACTTTTGGTGATTGAGTATATTTGTGCTATACTTAGCATTGCTGAATACCGACATTTTTCATGTAAAATTCATTTATAATGTATCTATGGTTACCACCTATTTACATAAATATTCTATATAATTTCTTTGATGCATTTATGGCAAAAGAATGCATTTTGAATATGCGTGTAAACTAACGTAGTGACTGTATTCGTGTTTGTAAAGGTTCATTGTTCAAAAGTAGGTGATATTCTCAATTTATACTGTTTCTATGGCAACCAACACATATAGTGACCAATATTTAATATTTTACCAATTCAGTTTATTCAGTTAAGTTTATTTCCCTACTAACATGTTTTTTTTAACCAGTATAGAAGTCTCTACTTTACATTGTTCGTTTAACACTTAATCAGAGTGAACACAATATGTCCCAATAATGACCCCAATTTTTCAATTTTCACATGTATAAATATTTCTAAACTTTTCAAGATATTGTGTTATATATTCAGACCATATCATAGATTGATTAAAACTAAGTTTTGATACTGTTGCAATTAGTTCACATTTTGATGGAAAATTTGATAATTTGATAGACTATATACCGGGGTTATTGCATAATATGCAGTCGAAAGCAGGTCAGGATAAACATGTAGCGTTTTCATACGGCAAGTAAATCTGACCTTTCATGTGTACAACTTGCTGTAAATAATATACCCTACGGTATTATATGTTGATTTTCTTCAAAATAAGGTTTTAAACGTGTTTTATGATTAACTATTAAATCATGTATTACAACTACTTTTTCTATTTTTCTTTATAAAATTTAATTAGTTTTATTGTGAACCCGTCTTTAAAAGCGGAAGATATTTATAGTGAACAAGCATTTTCCAGTTACTGATTTAAACAGAGTATTTTTTTTTTTATTTCTGAAATTTTATTAAGTTACCAACCAATCATATTGCAGGGACTCAAAACTGGTGTCAACGAAATTATATGTTGAAATAAAATTTTCTGAAAAAGGGTGGACAACACAACTACAATGTATTCTATGAAAAAGGGAACAGCTTTGCATTATGTACGTAAATTTTTTTTTCAGATTTTATTGTTTGACACAAAAAAATTTTAGTTACAACCTACCTAATAGAATAAAAACATATAATGATCTATTTCGGGGGGAGGAATGGGGTTAATGAGATCTTCTCACAATTTTCTACATACATGTATACGGGGAAAACCTTCTAAATTACAGTTAGGAGGGATTCAGTTTTTTTTTCTTAATGTTTTTTGGGGGGGGGGGGGGGGTCAAATTAAATTACACTGCCTACTTTTTCATCAAAAAAAATTCTTTATACTCCCAAATATTTTTTAGTAACAGTAATAGAAATTATAAGAATTTTGCTTTAATCTGAAACCGAAGTTCGGATATTACCTTTCATAAGAATTAAAACATTTTTATTGTTTCTTAACTTTTGGTGATTGAGTATATTTGTGCTATACTTAGCATTGCTGAATACCGACATTTTTCATGTAAAATTCATTTATAATGTATCTATGGTTACCACCTATTTACATAAATATTCTATATAATTTCTTTGATGCATTTATGGCAAAAGAATGCATTTTGAATATGCGTGTAAACTAACGTAGTGACTGTATTCGTGTTTGTAAAGGTTCATTGTTCAAAAGTAGGTGATATTCTCAATTTATACACTATGGCAACCAACACATATAGTGACCAATATTTAATATTTTACCAATTCAGTTTATTCAGTTAAGTTTATTTCCCTACTAACATGTTTTTTTTAACCAGTATAGAAGTCTCTACTTTACATTGTTCGTTTAACACTTAATCAGAGTGAACACAATATGTCCCAATAATGACCCCAATTTTTCAATTTTCCCATGTATAAATATTTCTAAACTTTTCGTTATATATTCAGACCATATCATAGATTGATTAAAACTAAGTTTTGATACTGTTGCAATTAGTTCACATTTTGATGGAAAATTTGATAATTTGACTAGACTATATACCGGGGTTATTGCATAATATGCAGTCGAAAGCAGGTCAGGTAAACATGTAGCGTTTTCATTCGGCAAGTAAATCTGACCTCATCATGTGTACAACTTGCTGTAAATAATATACCCTACGGTATTTTATGTTGATTTTCTTCAAAATAAGGTTTTAAACGTGTTTTATGATTAACTATTAATATCAATTCTCTATAAAAATCAAAATTTTAAATAGGGTCGTGGACATGGCATATCTCCGATTTAGCTGAAATTCACACCATTTACTACAATTGGTATGTCTTTAATAAATATGATGTTAAAGTCTAACTTTTCAATTTGGTTGCCATGGTAACAGGGATGTTATATTTAGAACCCTCTGATTAAGCAAATTTTACTCTGTTTTAAATTAAATTTGTGCACATTCAATTAATTAGAAAAATTCACATGAAAATTATATTATGTGAGCTCATATTACTTAAATCTAAGAAATTAATTTCATTCAAAGATATTTGAATGAAGATTTAGCGAATTTTCATTGCAGCATTAAGGCTGTTAGCAAATTGGCAATTTGCCAAATTTGTCTTTTTTAGTCATATTCAATGAAATTTTTCACCATTTTGACAACTGATATATTTGTAAACATGTATCATTAATTAAACTATATATTCTAAGGTTTTATGAGAATAAAAAAAATTAATGGGTAAATCAAAAACTTTCTAGAAATAATTGCATTAAAATTGGCAATTTGCCAAAATTGACCTTTTTAGTCATATTCAATGAAATTTTTCACCATTTTGACAACTGATATATTTGTAACCATGTATCATTAAATAAACTATATATTCTAAGGTTTTATGAGAATAAAAAAAATTAATGGGTAAATCAAAAACTTTCTAGAAATAATTGCATGAAAATTGGCAATTTGCCAAAATTGACTTTTTTAGTCATATTCAATGAAATTTTTCACCATTTTGACAACTGATATATTTGTAACCATGTATCATTTAATAAACTATATATTCTAAGGTTTTGTGAGAATAAAAAAAATTAATGGGTAAATCAAAAACTTTCTAGAAATTATTGCATGAAAATTGACAATTTGCCAAAATTGATTTTTTTAGTCATATTCAATGAAATTTTTCACCATTTTGACAACCGATATATTTGTAACCATGTATCATTAAATAAACTTAATATTCTAATGTTTTGTGAGAATTAAAAAAAATTAATAAATTAATGGGTAAATGTACAGCTTTCTAGAAATTATTGCATGAACAACCCCCCCCCCCCCTCCATTAATCACAAATAACAGAGAAGATCATCTAAGAACATGTTTTACCAAACTGAACAAATTGTTATGTAGTATGAATATATGTCAAGTATTTAAATTTCTTTTCAATAATTAAATAGAACTTCTGAAATTAACTCAGTGACAGGTAAAATAAAATGTTGCCATGGAAACAAATCAGGCTTCTAGTTATTTTAATCTAAATATGAAATAAAACAAGTGAGTTTCCAAAAATTCTTACAAATCTTTTAATGGCCTGTAATTGTGTCCAATCCTTTTGATTTATTCACTAAAATATGTTCAAATTCAAAACAATTGTTTTATGGTTAATTTTTTAAAATGTATAATTAAAGTAAAAAGGCAAACTCATATTTAATAAATGATATGAAAGTATTTTATGAAAATATGAAAGTAGGTCAGACAATATAATGTCAAAACAAGTTGGCAAGACCATCTTGATTATAATGTTTGTTTGCCCTCTCCCAGCTCAGGGTAAAATTATTAAGTCGCCTCGTTAGGTAGGTTGTAAAATCTTTTTCCCAGAAAATTTCATAATATTTGTTGACGAGATAAGATGGATAAAAAGAAAACCATCCTGTCTTGCAATGTAAAAAAAGTTTTGAATTTTAGTTAGTCTGTTGGGGGAAGGCAGCCAAATTTGTTTAAATGACCTTATATGCTAAATATTGTGGAATTAATTTTTATTACCACATTGCTTATCAGCATATTCAGATGATCAGTTACATGTATGCTATGTTCTTTTAATGGGTATAAATATTTTTAACCATTTGACTTTGACCTTAGACATTGACCGACTTAAAAAAACTTTAACCTAAGAACCACAACTTTTGAAGTTGGACTAGATTTTCATATTTCACAGGTGTTTTACTTGTGGCAAGACCTTTCTTGGGATACCTCGTGGGAGTCTTGACATAAGCTGCAATGTATGGGGGAATCAGTGTTTCACAATTAATCTTATTCTCAGTTTTGTTAAAATGTATTCATATATATTCTAATCATCCATAACATACTGTGTGAAGCCTGCCAATATAAAACTCTAAATTTGTGAGCCCATGTGGGGGTATATAATAAATCAGTATACCACCTCTCCTGCAGAGAGTGTATATAAAAAGGGAAGAAACTGCTTCTTTGCATAAAACTGCTTTTCTAGAAAAAAATAAACAAGACATAAATTGGAATGTATGCTTCACTTAAACAGTGACATTTTTTGAAAATACAAGAAATCAATTTAGAATACACATATTCTCTAAGGAAAACAGATGCCCTGCTTAAAAAAAAATTTTGCTAAAATTTGTTCCTTCATATTCTCTCATTTGATGTAAGCTTGGTTTCCTCGAATTCACATTTCTTTATGTCCTTTTGTGTAAGTTTGAAAAGTAGCTCAGCCTTGCAGTATTGATTTGCTGTGGATTTTAGTAATGAGTAATGACCATTAGAAAACCATCTCTATGTCCATCTTGCACCAGTGACAACTTTTACTGGATCATCTTTTCTTTCTGTTATTTTTCCTACTTTGTATTTTTCATGTAAAATTTACTTCCAGTCCACTGTATATTGTTTTCTTTTTTTTTGGGGGGGGGGGGGGTGTATGTCCTCTGCTCTGGTCATCTCTATCTGTTCACATGAAAATAAAAAAATAACATTAATTTTTGGTCACTTTGGATAAAAATACATTTAAAATTGTTTCAAAAACTTAAAACTGGAATCTTAAAAATTTGCTATATATAAAAAATATACATTTTCAACCTATAAACATTATTATCTCCCTTTATGCATTGTTGTGGCAATCATGTCTTAAGTCACCATGAATCCATGCAACTTAATACACACTACATGTACCTGTGTGGTTTCCTTGCTAGAAGATCTGTAATCCTGAGAATCTTCATTAGGAAAATCTTGCAAGTGCTGCAATGATCAATTTAAAATTATTTTTTAATTTGAAAGTTTGGGTTAAAATCCTGAACATCATATATATATTACATGTACCTAATAATTACATGTTATCCTGAAAATTTTCTGAATCAAGAGGAATGATTGATAAAGGAGTGAATTTAATGTTGTCATCAAGCTTTTTTTTTCAATTTACATATAAAGCTTTTCTGCAGTTTGGACAAATTGCCTGAGATATAGAAACTAAGAGTAGAAATGAATTTGACAACAATTAATTTCTAAAGTGGAAAATAAAATGTATCTATATAATCATAAATTAATTGTAATAAAAACATACATGTTTTATGGATACTAACGTAATGTGGTATAATTTATTTTCTTCTTTAATGCGACTATTTTTAATTTGTACAATATGTCCTTGACATGTAAAGTACACAGCATCAGAATGATCTTATCTGTACAGATCAATATTGTCAAACTAAAACTATTCATATTTAAAATGTGTGCAAGATTGATATGCCTGCAATATATAGCTGAAAAACAGTGATCAGTAAAATAAAATTATGAGACAGAAAGCTGCATCTTGGAAAGTACAAATGGAGTTGCCATATTCTAACACCCTTGGATATATTTCTTTTCCTACTTTACAATACATCACCTTGCAGAGCAAATAAATTCATTGTATCAAGGTCCCAAAAATGATTTCACAATAGTATGACAAATTATATGTACTTAGATCTGAACACTATTAGCATCTGTAAATCTGGATGTCTGCATGTACTTTCATAATTTTACACTTACACTTTTTTAATCAATTCTTTAAAATATTCTACAGTCCTGATATTGCTTAAAATTTCAAAAAATCTAACACACTATTCAGTTATCATTGTCATAAGTCAAAGGTTTAATATTTCTGAGGTATGATTTCTACAAATCCTGTTTGTAAAAATAGATTGGACACAAGCATATTATAATTTGGAAAAATAAATTCATACAAACAATTTTCTTCAAATATGTACTGATTTTTATAGAAAATAAAATACCAGTACCCAAAACGGGCACATATATTGCACAGTAGTATTTGATTCAATGTCATGTACATGTAATATGTGCAACTGTGCATCCAAGTTTTCATGGTTTTGTTTGTTTTTTTTTGTCTTATATTTCATTATACTTGTGCGCACAAGTCACAATATAAAAGCGGGGGTTAGAGTCAGAGGAATCTCGGATTATCCGTTACCATGCAGGTACATGTGATACCTGAATAGAATTATGAATAAAAAAAATACTTACACATTGTAATCGGGATCGGTCGGAGACTACCACACCACTACATTTATCTCTCGATCTCTATTTCAAAGACATCTTGAAGGGAACAGCTAAAATCCTTTCGGCCTTCGCCCCCATACCACCCTGATTTCCTCATCTTTTCTTTTCTACGAGTAGCTATACGTGAATAACGTGTAATACTCATCATGTCCAGATCAACCCTTTGGCTTTTCTTAAAGATTATCCCAACTTTGTCAACTGTTTTTCATCAAATTCTGAGTCTCTTGAGGTAGAATTTTCCTGAACAAGATGTTTCAAAACAAGAAGAAAAACTGCAGATTTCATTGTCTGCCATCTTGTTTACAATTTACACATTTTCTATTCTTCAATGCCGAAGAGCTCCAACAAGGGAAATAACTCGGATAGAGAAAAAGCACATTTTGACCAACTTTATAGTGTAATAAAACGTTTATTTTTCATTTACCCATAAATGTTTTAAATGATATTTGCAAAATAACATTTCTTGAATCTAAATCTTCCTACTAGAATTTTCACATCACTTGTCAAAGTCTTTAAATATTAAGTCTAACAAGGGAGGTAACGAGGACTAATTATTCACTTTTTGGGCATCAGAAAATTAGAAATTGTAAAATTTTTGTGACCTTGGCTATTTTTTTACATAGTTTTGATTGTCATGAAGGATATAAAAAAATATGAACATAAACAGCTTTGTCTAGTAAATACGTTTTTGATATTATTGATAAATAGCAAAATCCACTATAATTTACACCTTCTAGTCCCGTTTCCATGGCAACCGGATAAACTACCATGCTTTCTTTCATATAGTCAATCTTTTCATTCATTGAAGTTTCAGTAAGAAAAAAATTAGCTGAATCGAAGACATCGCATGGCCACCTCATTTTGATATTTACGTAGAATTGGTATTAAATCATGTATTACAACTACTTTTTCTATTTTTCTTTATAAAATTTAATTAGTTTTATTGTGAACCCGTCTTTAAAAGCGGAAGATATAAAATCTACCTTTCTACGTTTATCATTGTAACAAACTATATAATTAATCTTAAACTTTATACATTGAATAATTCACGATCATTAGTTGTATACATATTACGATCCCATTGTTCAGCGAGATGTTTTCAGTTATGTAATCAAAGCCGCAAATCCCACGTTGTCGATCTAGGTCACGAGTGTACCGGGCACCTGTGGACATAAACAAAGCAAGTGTTTGTGATTGTATTAGACCATTGTGTAGAAAGACCTAACAATTAATAGAAAACTGTGTTTTTAATTACATCGCGATTCAATAAGATTATTTTACCCATCTTTCATATTAAATCGTAATTCCAAACACTGGTGCATAAAATCATTTTGAACTGTGTTCGCTTTCTTTGGCCTGTTCTCGCAAAATAAACAAAGCAAGTGTTTGTGATTGTATTAGACCATTGTGTAGAAAGACTTAACAATTAATAGAAAACTGTGTTCTTAATTACATCGCGATTCAATAAGATTATTTTACCCATCTTTCATATTTAATCGTAATTCCAAACACTGGTGTATAAAATCATTTTGAACTGTGTTCGCTTTCTTTGGCCTGTTCTCGCAAAATAAAAAAACTCTTTTCTGTGTTAATGTATTTTATTTCAATTGTAATTGAGAAGGGGCTTCGGCAAATAATTATAATTAGTGATGGATAGTGATAAGTAATATTGTATATGTACGTTTTATTTTTACCATCACTCTTTTGTTTCTCCATTTACCGGGGTATCATATTTTTTAAAGATTAAATAAACATTGAACATAAAAAGTAATTTATAATATACTATTGTTCACGTATTTGTAATACCGGTATAGCAAACAGGTTATATCCAACTTTGTCTCTAAAGTTGTGTTTCCCGGTCCTCGTTTACAAGCACGTGGTTGCAGAGAACAGTGGGCATATATGAAAATCCATTGTGTACTCCGATAGTTACAAATGGAAAATTGGGTTTAAAATATGTCGTTTCTTTCATATCATTTCATTTCACTCTATTTCAGCTTGTTTAAATCAATCGTAATCGCTTGTACATTTATTCATTGTAAGTTTTATGTATTTTGATAGCCGAATAAACACTAGCTTGGTTTGCAACACACACCCCCCCCCCCCTGTTTTTATCGAGGTGGATATTGTTTTATGAATATTAAACTTACATGTACGCATGCATGGTAGTTGTAAGTGGAGGTGACGTTTCTAATTCACGGGAAAACATCCAACGTTAAATTAAGCACTTTTGAGTATGCAGTTATTTGCTACTAAACTTTAAAATGTTATTGTACAAAAATAATATACTTTTTCGTTGAATAAACAGAATATCTCAACATTGCACGATTTGACATGCTTGTACATGTTCAGTCGATGTCAGTATAAATACACATGGATGCACTTTTGCCTAGAATAACGGCCAAAATATATACATCCAGAGTTTAAGAATACGATTTTTAAAAAATTGAAAATTCATTAATGCTATTTATCATTAACCAGTATCTCGACGATAAAACATCAATTTTAATTCTTTACCAAACGTCCTCCCGGTCAGTCATTGTTAATGTTGGTGACATGAAATGTAGATACTAGGGTCTCAGTAAATAATTTCACCTTAATTATCCTCATTGTCATTCGGTGTTTTCATCATTAGAAATAAATCGTTTGAGGACGTCTTTTTTCTCTTCTCACATTGGTAACGCGTAGGAAAAAGTTTTTAAACAAAGCTAACGGCATTTTACAAAAAAGGAAAACGAGAAGAAAAAAATGTGTCTACTAGTATTTAGATTAAAAACACAACGCATCAATTTGTATTTGATTAATCCACATATGTTTTTTTTCCTTCTCCCATGTATTTCGACTATACGAAAAAAAAGGATCAGCAAATCCTTTGGTAATATTAAAAGAAAGGTGTTGTACCTTCAAAAGACACTATATCCCACAGGCCTTTAGATCGCTTAGAAAAAAAATTGTGTATATTTTTTTTCCAACACCTCAATTTTTTTTTCTAAGCGATCTAAAGGCCTGTGCTATATCCGAACAGTTATTACAGAGACTACCAAATATATCACGGCGTCCCTGAAAGAATTATTTTTAAATATTTCAATAAATTCTAATTTAGTTCAAAGAAAGCCACGCTGTTGTATACAAACATTCCAAAAATAATCTTTCATGTTTCATGGACCGACACGTGGTTAAATTTCCTCTCATCACTCATAAGTCCCCCCCCCCTTTAACATGTTTAAAATGAATATACAATGTCTTCCTTCTGAGCCGAGAATGTTAGTTGGTTGATTTGTTTTTGTACATGCGTATATACATGTAGATTAAGGCTGGTGTTGAATTCCGAAAGAAAGTCACAACCTATTTTTTTTTTATCTAAACCAATAATCATTCTATGCCCCGCCATGAATATGGCTTGGGATATAATGTTTGTCATGTCGGACGTCTTCCATCCTGCCTTATCTCCTTCCGTCACACTTTGCCTTTAGCTAAGTTCAAAGCTCAGTTTCAAACAAACTAACCAAGATATTTTTAAAAATAATCAAACTTCATACACAGTATAGCTGCAGAAAAAAAAATAACAGACAGGAGAGTTGTACTGAACCACCCACTGAAAAAACTGGTCCTACTAAACAGAGTACGCTAGTACACTGTAAAAACAGTGTTTAGAATCTAAACACAAATCTAAACACATTTTTTGTATCACTTTTTTTACACGTTTAGATCTAAACGTGTCTCATTTCTAAACACGTTAGACTTCATGTGTTTAGTTGCTAAACATGTTTAACCCCTAAACACTTATATCT